CGAGGGCTATATCACATCCTTGGACACCCACCTCAGGTCTATATTTTTGTATATAGACCAGTTTAGTATGATATATATTATACATATATAGACATATTATTTTTGCTGATTGGCAGTCTGCCAATCACCAAAAATAATATGTACAAATCTTATCCCTCCACAATTACAGTATATATACATACCAACTAATGGCACTGTCTCTTCCTCCTTCTTATATTCATGCCTATAATCAAAAGGAATAATCTACATACAATGGTGATTTTAACAACCATCAAGGGTACTCTAGTTGGTGCAGTAGTAGTCATCCGCGCAATCATCAGAAAGCTGCTATTTTACATCACGTGATAGGCCTGTATGGTATAGCATAGTGTACGTAGATTATTACTCGCGCGCTCTAAGCATAGACAATGCTCTAAGCGGTATCTATGATAGTACTAAGTTTAGCAGTGCATGTTGTTCGCTGATCTGTATGGGTACTATACTGTCTTCTCCTGCTCAAGCAGAGCCTCCAAATCAAATGACAAGTATTTTAGTAATTTATTTAAAGTAAATCCAATTAGATCTATTTATTATTATAGCCGATGATCTTGCTAAAGTACTTCAATTACTCAGAAGACATGGTTACTCAGGAGTCAGTTACTATAATCTTGGTCTTTATCTTGGCCTGTCCTCTGCTACACTGGATATCATTACAGGAAACAACAGAAATGATACTGAGGGTTGTCTACGTGAGAGTCTCAAAGCGTGGTTAAAGAAAGCTGATGATGTAGTAAAGAAAGGTGGTCCAACTGTCTTTTCATTGGTATCAGCATTGAGGAAACTAGGAGAGAATGGAGTAGCTGACGAAATGTTAGTTATGGAAAGTATGTTTACTATAAATGAGCATTATATATTGCTTAATTTATTTATTCTTAGAGCATCCTGCTTGTAGAATTCTTGCTCGTTATTCCTCAAACCAATCTCTTGTATCTGCTTTACCTCAGATGGTTCTAATGTTGCATACAGAGATGCATATTGTGTGTGCTAAAAAGGAAGAGGATATGCTTTTGATTGAAATTCTGAAAGCTGTCTGCATTGATTTTAATATGCTGGAGGTGTTTGCTAGAATATTACTTCAATATAGAGTCACAATAGATATAGGAAACATCATCATGAGAGAATACAGTAAATATTTCCAGCATAATATAATATCACTTATTTCTTATAGGAAAAGTTTATTATTGTGGTGAAAGTAAGGATAATAATGGTAAGTATAATAGAGTATTGTATTAATTTTTATTCAAACCATCCATAAACAGCTAAACAACTTGAAATTAGTCTTCCACCATCCATAACCTCAAAGTTTAAATCAATGCGAATGAAACTTTCTTTTACATTTGATAAAGTTGAATCAATCATAAAAGCATGTCCGCCTTCGACACTTGACAAAATAAAGAATTCATTGATCTATTACAGTGAAGATCTAAAGCCTCAAGTAGTTCAGTGTGATAATGCTCATGACATCTTGGAATTAGTTAGGAAAGATAGTTCACTAGATGATATAGAAATGCTGAAGGCTATTGTTAATGAGCTTGGTATAGAGGAGGCTAAGGTAGCTATTCAGAAATATAGTGAGGCTATAGAAGAGTTTAGCAAAACAGAGCTTAGTAAATGCCTGAATGAAAAGTTTTCATATGCTTCACCACTTCAATGTGAGAGGATTACCATTGTCATTGATCGAAATACTGATGAGTGCACACTGAATGATGTCAGGAGATTATCAGCCAATATATTTGATGAGCTTTCGCCAAATGTCCGGCTAAATGTTGTTCGGGATGAAAATTCATTCACTATCACTTGTTCCTTCCCTTTGATTCTATCTGAGCAGTTAATTACAGCTGCTCTTAATAATATTGATGTATTGAAAGAAAACAAAGTGAAGAGATTAACTATTGGATACTGCACTGTGTATGAGGTAAATAGACTATTTTATGAACTGATATTTATTATTAATAACAGGTAAAGGACACCTCCACTGCTACTACAACAGAAATAGATGAATACACCTCATCATTAACAACTAGTAGTGGTTTAATGAAACAATTGATGCTGTCATTGAGTGTACAACTGATTGATAGAACAGAGGAGGTGAAAAATTTAGAAGGTATGTGCTTTTAGCTCTTGAAGCTATCACTCTCTATATATACTATAATCACAGGGACAAAAAAAATGGTGCAGCAATTGCAAAAAGAATTAAAAGAAAAGGAAGGGGATATGCAACAAGAGCAAGGTCAGTCCAATTTATCATCAACTCAAACAATACAAAACATGACGTATAAAAATAGCTAAGAGTAAGTTATTACAAGAGAAAATAAGAACAATGAACTTACAACTAAGTGAAAAAGATAAACAAGTGCAAGGTATAACTGTCATTATGCACAAGTTTTAATTAATCAAAATTTTTCTGTAGAAAAACAACAAAATGTATGGAAAAGTACGTTTTGACAGGACATTTCTATTTATAAATTAATTATAATTCTATTTTAGCTTCACGAAAAGAAAAAATTCCTCTTGTAAGCAAATTTTACTTCAAATTTAATTATTCAAACTGATTACAGATATTTCAAGATGATATTTATGATGATATAATTATTGACGATCAATTGATTATACAAATTGTGCAAACACAACAATTTCAAAGACTGAAAAATATCAAAATGTTAGGTAAGGTATATCTTAGATTAAAAAATCAATGTTTTGGAAATTATGTATAGGTTACACATACCAAAATATGCCAAGAGCAAATTATTCAAGATATCAACACAGTATTGGGTAAAAATAATATGTAAGTATAGCATCATTAGCTAGATCTCTTAATAGAATGTATTATCTTGCTGGAGAATATGTTAAGCAACTTCAAAAAAGGCAACCTGAGCTGAATATTACTGATTCTGATGTTTTGTGTGTACAAATTGCTGCTCTTTGTTATAACCTGGGTCATGGTCCTTTCTCTCATACTTTTCAAATGTTCCTGGATGAAGAAAATAAATTTGACAAGCCTTGGAAGGTAAATTATTACTTACCAAAGGCACCAGTAATATGTCATTTAATTAATAATAAGAATGTTTCTGAAGCATCAGTTAAGATTTTTGAATACATGCTGGAAGATAATGAACATTTAACCTACTTTTTAACGGTTTCTTTGGAAGAATATATGGAAGATATTGCATTCATTAAAGAACTTATTCAAGGATCAGGATATGTAAGTATTGCATGCTAGCCATAGTTTTTAGCATGCGGCAGCTCTAGAAAAATTAAAAGTAGGTGTGCCTCATAGTTTTTCATTAAAGACAACATCTTTCATGCTATAGGGGGTTCCAAAACCCCTACTGCCATGCTGTTTCACAATTGAGTTGATATGCAATGCAAGAGGCACCATACAAGCATTATACTCTGAAATCATCATAAATCATGTCATCAAAAAATTTAAAATATATAGCATATCACATAGTTTAATATTTAGTCATATACATGTAATTTCCCTAAATGTACATGTACTGTATATACATACATGTACATAATAATTAAATTTGTAGGAACAACGTAAAGATAAAAGGTTTTTATATGAGGTTTGATACATACAATTCAAATGTATAATTCAATGATACATTAGATTGTATATGATAAAAGAAGTGGGTTAGATGTTAGTATGATTGACAGCACAATGAGAGATGCCAAAGTATTGGGAAAGAATATCATTTTCAAATGGAAGTAAGATTTAATTTTATAAACTACAAAGCATGCAACTTTGGATTTGTCTGAAATTGCCATAATTTTAGTGATAGTATGCATGAGTATAATTTGGTGAATTTATGGCCATATATACATGTGTCATTGAGCAATGATGGCTTTACAATTACATTTTAGATAAGTCCCAAAATTACTTACATGTACATGTATATAATGGTAAATTCTAATTTTAAAAAAATTACAGGGTAAATTTTAACCAAGTACGTGTCTTGAGGTGTCCTGATGGTGACTTACATACTTGTTTTCCAAAAGATGTTAGCATAATAATAATAGTAATATTAATAATAATAATATTTATACTATTTTTAGGATTTAGAGACCTATAATGATTTATTTAGAACTCGTCATACCCTCTTCAGGGAATTGTATTACACACGCAAGAGCAGGATTGCTGCACTAATGTAAGTATCATTATTATTAAATTTCAATATTAACATATTTTCAGGATAAAGAGAATATTAGTCAAATCAAATCAAATTCCAATAATCAAAGATACTGTAATGCATCATTTACAGATTTACTACAGACGAGTGACTATATCTGAAGCTACAAAAAACATTTCAGCATATACTCAACTCAATGATAGTATTCTCAATAATATTGAACTATTAGTTGAGGATACTGAAGTCAGTAACAACTATAGATTATTGTCATAAGTGATTTTATACAGGTGCAAGTACTGCTGAATTGCTTGGACTCTGTGAATAAAGTTATTGGACAGATTGGTTATGTTACACCAACAGATGATTGGAATACAGATAGAATAGTAAATTAATTTAATAAAAAATGCATGCAGCTATGCTTGATGACTTTTTAGAAGCAGCATATCATAGGAAGTATTAAAAGCTGTGATATTACTGACGACCTCATAATTGATGTAAGACAATAATTTATTAACTTGACACTATATACACTATATACTTATAACTTATACCGTTAAAATTATTATAAATGTAAATGCATACATTTAGCCTATCAAAAATGGATATGAGAATTGGGAATCTCTTACAAAATACTATTACACTAGTGATGATAAAACAGGACAATGGACTCATGAATGGGTCAGTTTCATTTTCATAATGTAAAAGTATCACCAAATGCATTAATCCAATAGGCGCAACCACAAAATCCTGCTAAACCAGTACGTATATTTCTTGTAAGTGGTGACAGAGACCTTATAAGGGAAGTACAAAAGTCAGTTATAAATTACACGTATTGTAATAACCAATTATTGATAGAGCACTACAAGAACTAATAAATGATGAAAAACTTGAACCAGGGGTATGAGTAACATTAATTGTTAATAGTAATACATAATTAATTTATACATTTCAGGAAATCTATCCTGATGAAGATAATTGTGACTTGATGCCACTACTCAAAGGAGATGGAGCAAAAGAACCCAAAGGAAATGGAGCAAGTGTATTAGCAATGGTGTAAAAATAAATGTATTATACATGTATTTACATTGTCAACACACAGCAACTTAAAGTTAATGTACATGCTGAAGCTGACTGTAGTATGTATGTATGTATTAGTATGTTGTTTGATGCTAATAGAAGAAGCATTTTGATACTTATTGCTTAAATTTAGGTGAACAACTCAGGTTTCCTGGAGTAGATTCACTAGGTATAATTAGTGCCATTATCTAAGACCTTGCCAACTTAGCATACATGCAATGGGATAAAGTTCCATAAATGCAACCTAAGCAAACAAAAACTTGGACTTGGAGATAAAATTACTTAAGATACATGTATGAGGAACAGATTTGTAAAGAAATTTATATAAAAACAAGAGTGGAAAGCAAAGTGGAAAGCAAGTAATTGACTATAACTACATACTGTATAGTGTTAACTTAATAATCAATTGAAAAGAAATAGAGAGACAGACAAGATTACACCTCAATAGAGACAGAGGATTAAAAAAAGTGTACTGCAGTATCAGAGTGTACCAGTGGATCCTAATTTAGTGAGATCCATTGAACTAAATGAATGTCCATATCCTAATGCTTGTCTTTTAGTGGGAGGAGCTCTCATTGGAGTAGGAGGAAAAGGAGGAGCTACTGATAGTGTACAAGTATTGAGAGTAGAATCCTATGAGAGGAGAGAGAGGGAGGGAGGGTATGTCACTCATAGTATTCTTACTAATACTATATTACTTACAAGATCAGTAAATGATTCATCCATTGTGTCTAACTGATCAACATTTTTACTAATAATATAAATACAATATGTACCACAATAATATCATAATATGTCACTAGTCTCTCTCTATACAGTATATCTATAAGTACCTCAATGGTATGAATGGTCTTCTATTGGAACGATTTGATATAGTTCTCTTCACTTTCCTTCTCATTCCTTTAATACTATCACTAATAATTAATAATCAAGAAATAATAGATTGATGTAATACATGTACACAAACACTTTCTTTTTCTCCCTCCCAACCCCCACTCTCTCTCTCTCTCTCCCTCTCTTACGTGAATGCTCTTTTAATGGTTCCAGTATCAATGGGTCCAATGCTACCTCCAGTCTTTGGCATTGAGTGTAATATATCTGATGAGGTCTTCCATACAAACATATCCTGTAAACAACAACAAACAAAAATAATTAAAAATAGAAAATGTTGATAGTCAATGCCTTATGATACATACATATGTACATGTATAAA